CTCGTCCTATGCATTACTACTGTGAACTATGTGGTCTAGAGTTCAAGAACGGGCATTACAGACGTTCATTTCTTTCATAGGGCAATGTGTGAATACGTATTTGATTTTAGTATATTTCACAGGTATCCTGTCGCTCTGGTCGTCAAATCCAATGTAGTTTTTCATACGTCCGTTTATTTTTTTTCTGGCACCTCATCCTACACCCTCTACTGTAGGAAGCTGTTCGCGTTTCCGAGGCATTTCGACTCGATTTCCGCCCGATTGTGGTCGCCGTCACCTCTCGCTGCGCAGATCTTGCACAATACATTCAAGGTCATGCCTATTCCGTTTTAGGACATCCACCAACGTTGTCTGGTCTATCCGGTCTTCCTTCGGCTCTGGATTACGAATCGGATTTGGTGGTACAAACGTTGAATAGCCTGACCAGTAGCAAGGCACACGTACCAGTTACTGAGGACCGGATCGCGCCAATCACTTCGACCAATGCAGGGTATTACTTGTTTATATCTATTGGATTTCCTTCCAACCAATTTGCCTTTAATACTTTCTATCGTCTTGGTCTGCTAATCAATCAATCAGTGTTTACGTTTTCTTATCTGGTTTTGACCGAATCAGTATCAACTCCTTACTTTCATCGTACGAAACTGACTGGTTAGAAGGTGGTTCGTTAAGCAAAATCAGGTCGCTTAGGTATTTCGTGTACTGTGTATCTCCAGAGCTTGAGAAGGCATGAATATGAATTCGCCAAGTGATTCCCACTCCTTACCAGTGGGCCATCTGAACTACAGCAATTGATTTCACATCAACTCTAGATGATAGAGTTCACGCTTTTGTGCCTTTGGACATTGAATATGGTTACCTGGATAGACAGACAGACTCATTGATGCACACATCTCAAATTACTGCGCGTTACTTAATTTATTCAGGTGATTGGAGGTCTTTCGTCCCTGTAATTTTTGTTCGTGATTGGTTAAGGACTTTTTGAAAGCTAGTCCTCTTACTTCCACCGACTAGGTCGATCGTTCACTTTCCTTCCCTAGATTATCTTTTCTCCGCGCTTATGACCTACAGAGAATGTTGCTGTTTGAATTTTGAAATGACCGTAAGTTGGGTGGGATACAATCAAGAATCATGATCTTTTCACATTTCACCCACGAGCAATTCTCACCCTCTGTGGTCTATCGGAAAATTCGCCGCTTCAACGTATGTTTAAACTATTTTATCACAAGACGGACGGGATCCAATCCACATCCTTATGGTCACAGTTAATTGTGCGACCGGGATGGAAGTCGTGAATCCAATGGTATCACTTCTTCTTTGTTATGCGATCACTTATCGTATTGTGTTTTACGTGTAACCTGTTGATCAGCCTTACTCGATACTAAGCAGCAGTTTCGTCACCCACAGACCTTACTTCCATCGTGTTATGGTCGACTACGGTTTAGTAACTCTTTCACTAGAATTTCATCTCCTTTTAGTGTTCTCGGGATCCTCGAAATCTCGATGTTATTGGCTTTGCCAAAGGATTGTACATTGTGAGTTTTTTGTTCTATTTTTAGAAGCGTTCCTCATGCCTTGAGTCGCTTGTACTGGAGCTTGCTGGAACTGATTTTGACTCGAATGGATCCGCCCTCTGCGTCGGATAATGCGACATCAAAGCGTGGTTCACATCAGCCGGGGCTACTACATTTGATCGCTTGCGAGCGTCTATTGGAGTCTACTCCCATCCGACTACACATTCCAACGTGGCTGATCACTCGACTGCAGTCCACACATTTCCAGACAAGTCGCCCGGTGCAGTTGCTGCGTCTCTATTGGCGATTTGATCGGGTTGAAGATGCGTACAATCTTACCATGGATATGCTGACCGCAGCCACCGGTCGTGACCTTGCAGACCCCGCCGCATTTGGACTGCAGGTATTCAGATGCTTTGTACCGTTTCCACTCTAGCATTTCAGTCCTATTCGTTTCACTTACATGCCATTCAACCTTGCCAACTTAAAAGAACTTAGAACCTTATGCATGCTGTTTTCTGTAACCACTCTCAAGGTCCATATCGGTCCTCAGATTTGCTAACTTACATTCTCAGCCTTATGGTGCGTTATTTACTGATTAATCGATTTCTTCCACGCAATACGAATAAGATAAAGACGTGTGGTTAAGGAATTATGAAAGCAGATGAAACAGTCGGCACCGTCGAACCTTGAACATAGTTATTTGAACAAACACTGTTTAATTAGTATATACCTGAGCTAATTGTATTTTGTCTTCCCTCTTAAAAATGGATAATATACTTCAAGAATAAAATAGATTAAAAACAAGTTTCGTTTAACATGTACTACTTGATATAACGCCACGGAATGTATTCAGTAAGATTCACGAGGAAATCGCGTAGAAACGTCACAATGGTCTCAAAATGCCATCCGTATTTTACTATTCTTGTTAATTTATATAGGCTTCCTTGCCGAAGACCGTTGTCTATGATAAGCAGCAATCACAGAGGACTGTCTGGATCCCGCATAACTTGATCGTCAACCTGTTAGAAGCGTTGAGTATTTTATCCGCGGATTACCCGGCTTGCAAGATCGTAAGTTTGCATTGTTCGCTCTCCAGTCATTTACGTCGCATGTTGTTATTTTGCATCGTGATTGTTCACAATCAGATGTTTTCCGACCTGTAGCGGGAAATAATGTTTACTCGATAGCATAATGCTTTCTTCGACCACGATTTAATGAATCGATTACGATCATCCCGAGGTCCCCAAACCGGGGGCCTATCAGGACCTATGTGACCCATTACCCTGTCTGAGGATTTCATACTCTCGTGCCAGGTTTTAGCTTGACCACCCTTGCTTTCTTTCCACCCACTACCTACCTCGGAAAATATCGCTCACCGTGGTAACCTCCTTGATGGCATGCGTGACACCTATGAGGGTCGACTACTTGCTCCAGAGGGTGACCATGGTTACCCAAAACTCTGCGCCTAACCTCAGCATTGCTCATCCGGCTATCCAACCATACTCGTACAATGCTGTGTAGACAGTGGTGTTCAAACACCGACGGTCTATCTTTATCCCGTTTTCTTAATGACGAAGGTTCTGAGCCGTATAGCAGAACTGGATGAACTGCCTCAGCATACGCTCAACCCTTCACGGATGGCCGGATGTCGCGACGGCGCCACAGATGTCTCAGGTTGGCAAATGCCAACCGAGCCTTCGGTATGCCAGCTGACACTTCATCTGTGATGCGTCCACCGGGTAAGATGTAGCTGCCCTAATAACAAAACTTATCCATTTGGTCTGTTGCTTTCCCAGCTAGAGTGAGGCTGGGTGCTGGGAAATCCAGTCTTGGAGGAACATTTCACACTATGAAGGTGCAGAAGGCATACCGTACATAGCTACGCCGGCATTCAAACTATCCAAAATGTTTGCAACTTACCTGGATCTTCGCTTAGCAGCATGTCGTTTGCATACTCCAAATCAGACAATCTGCCAACTGGAAATAAATCGATTTCGCTATTCTCACACGAGGATGGGGCTGTGTCTATAGTCAGATCTAAAACAAATTTGAATAGAAAAGGATAAAGAGGGCAATCCTAACGAACACCACTTACCGTGGTGAACTCGGGCGAAAAACTGACGTGAGCCCGGACTCGACTTCGGGTATTAGTATAAGGCGAACGTAATATTGAAATTAACATCTCGGGCTCACCTTTCAGGGAAAGGCAACGCCAGAGTTTAGAGTGGTCTACTGAATTGAAAGTCGCCTCCAAATCGAAGAAAACAGAGATGGTGGGTCTACGAAAGGAATGCCGGTGCTCCAGGATTTGGCGCAGAGTGAAGATGTGGTCGACACAACCTCGATCGGGTCTAAAACTAGTCTGGTTCTCACGCGTGCACCGTTCACGTTCAGCAGACAATCGGTGGAGTATGATGCCAGCGAGAAGTTTAGAAACGATGTTAATTAAACTAATTCTTCTATGATTTTCACAAGAGGATCTATCACCTTTCTTGTAAATCGGTATGATCACACCATCCAGCTTTTACCTCTTCTTTTTCCCCTATTTAGCCCAGGAGTTTTGTCAACTCCAAGACTAACGCTGAGCCTCCATCCTTAAACGCTGATGACAGCCAATCTGGCCAGAGGCCTTATGCCTTTTGAGATAACCTAATTCCCGGGAAACCTCCATTTCAGATGCAGGACTGGGAGTATTTGTCCAGTCGAGGCGGAGAGTGAAAAATAAGATGTTTGTATCCTATAATGATGTTTGTCTCGTTACACCGGAGACAGTGAGAAACAAAAGTTCGTGAAAGGGAACATACGCACAAGTTTATTCGCAATGACAGCGATTATAAATGTGTGCGGCTACCACGTAACAATCTGTCAAGATCCAGGACGGATTGCCGTAGGGCCAGAGTGTTATGTTAGCGGGTTCGGTAGATATTTGCTATCAAATGTTCCTGACAATTCTTAAACGGTTTTCAGTGTTTGGTGATATGTTGATTCGACTTGACGATTTTTCGTGTTTTTAATGCACGGAGTGATGCACTCTGATTGATGGCAGCCACAGTTGAACTAATGCAAACCATTCGTTTCTCATGGTTCTGAAAAACTGATTGGTCGTTGATCCGCACGCGTTCGCAGGTTATATCATTGGTTTTAACCACAACCAGACCACCGAAACATTCTACTACTTTTCAGTGGACAAATCCAGGATTTAAATACCAAGTTTCTTTGTTTAGTGTTTAGGGTTCTAAAATTTAAAACGTATGGTAAGCCAGATTGACAGTCACCACCCATCCAAAATTCGCAGTAATATACTGATTACTCATAAGTAGCTTGAACTTGCTTACATTAGAAGGGGATATCAGAATACACGAAAGTAAATATAAAAGGTATAAAACCCCAAAAACAACTAAAAATATCAATAGACAGATCAATCAGCGTGATAGCGTTCACTGGTGTTTTTCAAAAATGTTTTTGCGTCATACTTTCACGGAAAAATTTTCACGTAAAGTTTATTGACCTACACAACGTAATAAAAATTTCTCTGTGGGCGTCTGTCGATCAGGTCTACCAAAAGAATTATTAGATACATATCATTTGTATGACATTGTATTTCATCGTCACCATACATTCTGTATCTCTGAATATTGATCTTTTATTTATTTTCTTCTGTCCCTTCTCGAAATGCCTCCCAATGAAGATGGAGTCGAATCTACGAAACAATTTATCCACTTATCTGAAATGGCTGAAAACGTGCTGTGCCCAAGGCTGATTGAGATTACGGTTTAACCCCGACTTATTGTTGTTTTATGTAAAAATAAACCTATTCTATACCCCCTCCCCCCGAAGTATCCTTGTACGATAATCCGGTTTCCATGTCTGCATTTTTTCCAAATATAATCACAAAACTCGTGTACGACTCTTATTTTTGTCCCCCGTCTAAGTGCTTTCATACTACATGCCAGTCAACGATTTCTACTCAGATGTTCTAATCTAGTTGTCAGTGGTTTCGTTCCGTTTTAATTATTGGAAAATGTTGTTCTCTTTTGATTCTTTTTTTTTTACTACTACGGTTGCTACCCGAATCCCGGTCACTGAGCTGCTTTTGGTCTTTTTTCGGAGCTTCAAACCCTGCTACGGTGACACGACTTCGGGTGATCGGCGGCTTCGTTATTATTCGGCTCAAAAAGCATCCCCAGTTTTGTGTTCTTTCCAAATTCCAAGGCTAAGATTGCCT